ATGGATTTTCAGAGATACAGAGACTCATAGAGATACCTAGAGAAAATTAAGTTAAGACCTCATATAGATACATAAATACTATAGATATACATAGACTCATAGAAATACCTAGATTCATACAGATACCTAGACCCATAGATATACATATATTATTATAGAGATATATAGACTCACAGAGATACTTAGAGATTGATAGAGATACACAGAGACTCACAGAGATACTTAGAGACTCACAGAGATACACAGAGACCCATAGAGATGCACGGAGGCTCATAGAGATGCAAAGAAACTCACAGAGACACATATAGACTCATAGAGATACATAGAGGCTCATAGAGATACCTATAGATACATAGATACAGAGACTCAGAGACACATAGAGACTCACAGAGATACATAAAGACTCATAGAGATGCATGGAGACCCATAGAATCTCAGAGATACACAGAGACTCAGAGATACATAGAGGCTCATAGAGACTCATAGATTACCTCGAGACACATAGATACATAGAGACTCATTGAGATACATATAAACTCATAAAGATACATAGAGGCTCATTGAGATACGTAGACTGATGCAGATACCTAGACTCATAGAAATACACAGAGAATCATAGAGATACATAGAGACTCAGAGACACATGGATTTTCAGAGATACAGAGACTCATAGAGATACCTAGAGAAAATTAAGTTAAGACCTCATATAGATACATAAATACTATAGATATACATAGACTCATAGAAATACCTAGATTCATACAGATACCTAGACCCATAGATATACATATATTATTATAGAGATATATAGACTCACAGAGATACTTAGAGATTGATAGAGATACACAGAGACTCACAGAGATACTTAGAGACTCACAGAGATACACAGAGACTCATGGAGATGCATGGAAACTCAAAGAGATACACAGAGATACACAGAGACTCATAGAGATGCATGGAGACTCATAGAGATACACAGAGACTCATGGAGATGCATGGCGACTCATAGAGATACACAGAGACTCATGGAGATGCATGTAGACTCATAGAGATACACAGATACTCAGGGAGATACACAGAGACTCATAGAGATACACAGAGACTCACAGACATAGACAGAGACTCAGGGAGATACACAGAGACTCATAGAGATACACAGAGGCTCACAGAGACACATATAAACTGGGTGAAAAAGTGAGCTCGAATTTGTTTTGTATGCCTTGATCTTCGGCCATCTGGCGCCCAAGATAACTTGTCCCGGGGGAGAAAAAAAAAGAAAGAAGCGGGGGACAGGTGGCCAACTCTGGTCGGCTTGACGCTCTCGGTGTCACGGGGCACGGGGTGGGGCGGACACGGAGCGGCGACGTCCTCCGTGCCCTCGCGCTCACGTAGCGGGCGGAACGCCGCCACCGCCTCGAGCTGAACCGATACCGAGAGCGATGCGGCTTCCGGAAAGAGAATCAGAGTCAATTGAATTTATACTGCGGGAGGAATCCGATGAGCTTTAAAGCTCTTTCCTCCCCCCCCCCCCCCCACAGATGTCCAGTCGGGGGGGCGGGGGAGGGCACGGGGTAAGAACGTTACAACAACAAACACAATTAGAAAAAAACACATACAAATAAAACCAAAACCATCCCCATCTTACCAGGCAAAGCCCACTGAGGTCTTAGCTTAATTTTCAAAAGAGACCCCGGTTATCACAAATGATAGCCGCTCAACGAAGTGGCTTCTTCATCATCATCACGTGGACATTTAAATCAGTATGCCAAATACTCTGAACGCCGTGACGTTGATTCTAAATGCGGAGGGAAAAATCGGAGGACCCGGAGAAAAAAAATCCACACGACCACAAGGAGAGAGACAGAGACACCGCAAACTCCAAATATGCAGCAGGCGTCAGCGTCGGGATCGAACCCACGACCACCTGTATACCAGGCGTTAGGAGTGCTCTCTCTCTCTCCTGCAACCCAATTAACATGGCTGCCTTCCCCTCTCCTCTCCCTTACCAGCTGCGGCGAGAGAGAGATGGAGAGAGCGCGGCCAGAGAGAGATAAGAGAGACTGTGAGAGTGGTGGTGGTGGTAGTGGGGTAGCGGTCGTGTAGCGCTTAGAGCGCACTGCGCTACGATCCCGGCGCACCCCCAGTTCGATTCCCGCTCACGGCCACCAACACCGATGAAGATCAGAATCTGACTCGGCCTCAAACGAGCACCTGGTGCGGTGGTGAGAGAGAGCGCGCATCCGTGGCGTGCGCAGCGTTTGCGAGAGGTGAGGAGAGAAAGAGAGAGAGAGGCAACGAGAGACAGAGAGAGAGAGATAGAGCGTGCGTAGCGTTTGAGAGAGGGGAGGAAAGCGTGAAAGAGAGAGAGGCCAAGAGAGAGAACGCGCATCCGTGCATGCGTAGCGTTTGATGCAACTGCACACACACGCACGCGCGCACACGCACGAGCGCCTCCGGGCCCTTCTCTGTTGGTGTGGCAAAGGGTTTGGCGGTGTAGCCGTGTAATAAGTTTACCGATGGTGTTTGTTTACCGTATGGAAGGCACGGCGGGTGGGGTGGCGGTAGGTGGTGGTGGTGGCGGCGGCGGGGGGCGGGGACCGAGTGAATAGGCAACCCAGGCGCCGCGCGCGGCAGAGTTGCCGGCGGGGACGATTTGGCGCGGCTCGTGGGAACGTGACGACTCATTCCTTGTTTGCTACTGCGTGAGGGGTGTGGGAGGGGGGGTAGGATCCTAGGAACCCGTCCGCGCACGGGGTCATCTCCCGGAAAAAGGCACAGCCGCGTCGTCGATTTATTATCCGGCGTCGACGCGATTGTCCGGCCGCTTCCCGGCGTTATTCGCCGGTGCCCCCCCCCCCCGGTGCCCCCCCCCGGTGCCCCCCCCCCCCGGTGCCCCCCCCCCCCCCGGTGCCCGATGGGGCAAAGCCGGCAAGAACTCCGCTCCGAAGGCTGTGAACCAGGCCCGGCGATCGGCCACCGAGAAGCGTCACAACAACAACAACAACAAAAGTGGCTACGCTTGCCTTTCGGTGTCAAATATGATATATATACACACACACGGGACATTATACACCACGTACAACTGCGTAAACAATTCGAAGAGTGCGTGTGATGCGGGGAGCGGCAGTGAGGTCGCGGTTAGCGCTGCGCTGCGCTACGAACCCGGCTACGCCCCGAGTTCGATTCCCGCTCGCGGCCAACGCCGGCGACGTTTGTCTCAACCGGAAGTGGGCCTCCCCCTAGGTCGACTCGGCCTCGAATGAGTAGCCGGTGCGGTGTGCAAACATCGCCACTGGGGAGACAAAGGCGGTCGGGCGCGGTGTTGGCCAACCCCACCCCCTCGTGCGTCGTGCCGGCCTTCGTAGGTGCTGCTCGCTAACAGCACTTGCCCCAACAGTCTGTTCAGGCTATACGGGGGGGATCTTTGTCTTTTTTTGTTCGCTGGTGTGCAGCACAGCGAGTGAAATAAGTCCGAAGAGCCGGTGCGGTCGCGCAGTACAGCCGGTGGTGCAGTGTGCGGTACAGCCGGTGGTGCAGTTTGCAGTGCAGGCTGTGTGTGGTGCACAGTGTGTGGTGCAGGCTGTGTGTGGTGCACAGTGTGCCGTGCAGGCTGTGTGTCGTGCAGGCTGTGTGTGGTGCAGGCTGTGTGTGGTGCAGGCTGTGTGTGGTGCAGGCTGAGAGCGGTGCAGGCTGTGTGTGGTGCACAGTGTGTGGTGCAGGCTGTGTGTGGTGCAGGCTGTGTGTGGTGCAGGCTGTGTGTGGTGCAGGCTGTGTGTGGTGCACAGTGTGTGGTGCAGGCTGTGTGTGGTGCAGTGTGCAGTGCAGGCTGTGTGTGGTGCAGGCTGTGTGTGGTGCAGGCTGTGTGTGGTGCAGGCTGTGTGTGGTGCAGGCTGTGTGTGGTGCAGGCTGAGAGCGGTGCAGGCTGTGTGTGGTGTAGGCTGTGTGTGGTGCAGGCTATGTGTGGTGCAGGCTGTGTGTGGTGCAGGCTGAGAGCGGTGCAGGCTGTGTGTGGTGCAGGCTGTGTGTGGTGCAGGCTGTGTGTGGTGCAGGCTGTGTGTGGTGCAGGCTGTGTGTGGTGCACAGTGTGTGGTGCAGGCTGTGTACCGTGCAGGCGGTGTGCGGTGCAGGCTGTGTGTGGTGCAGGCTGTGTGTGGTGCAGGCTGTGTGTGGTGCAGGCTGTGTGTGGTGCAGGCTGTGTACGGTGCAGGCTGTGTGCGGTGCAGGCTGTGTGCGGTGCAGGCTGTGTGTGGTGCACAGTGTGTGGTGCAGGCTGTGTGTGGTGCACAGTGTGTGGTGCAGGCTGTGTGTGGTGCAGGCTGTGTGTGGTGCAGGCTGTGTGTGGTGCAGGCTGTGTGTGGTGCACAGTGTGTGGTGCAGGCTGTGTGTGGTGCACAGTGTGTTGTGCAGGCTGTGTGTGGTGCAGGCTGTGTGCGGTGCAGGCTGTGTGTGGTGCAGGCTGTGTGTGGTGCAGGCTGTGTGTGGTGCAGGCTGTGTGTGGTGCACAGTGTGTGGTGCAGGCTGTGTGTGGTGCAGGCTGTGTGTGGTGCTGGCTGTGTGTGGTGCACAGTGTGTGGTGCACAGTGTGTGGTGCAGGCTGTGTGTGGTGCAGGCTGTTTGTGGTGCAGGCTGTGTGTGGTGCAGGCTGTGTGTGGTGCAGGCTGTGTGTGGTGCAGGCTGTGTGTGGTGCAGGCTGTGTGTGGTGCACAGTGTGTGGTGCAGGCTGTGTGTGGTGCAGGCTGTGTGTGGTGCAGGCTGTGTGTGGTGCAGGCTGTGTGTGGTGCAGGCTGTGTGTGGTGCACAGTGTGTGGTGCAGGCTGTGTGTGGTGCAGGCTGTGTGTGGTGCAGGCTGTGTGTGGTGCAGGCTGTGTACGGTGCAGGCTGTGTGTGGTGCAGGCTGTGTGTGGTGCAGGCTGTGTGTGGTGCAGGCTGTGTGTGGTGCAGGCTGTGTGTGGTGCACAGCGCGTGGTGCGGTGAGGCGCGCCAGCCCCCGCTGCACTCACTCTCGGCGAACACCACCAGGCCGGCCACCAGCAGCGTCGCCGCGGCAACGCCGACCGCCAGCCTCCCGTTGCCAGGCAACGCCATCGCGGGGCGTCACGGCAACCGCGTGGGGTGGGGTGGTGGAGGAGGGGAGGGGTTGGGGTGGGGGGGTGTGGTGGTGGTGGTGAGGGGGGGGGGGTATTGGGCAAGGGGGTCGGGGTGAATATGGGCGCCTGAAAACTCCTGCGCGCAGACGCGATGAGATGGGGATGGGTTGTGATGCCTTCGCCGAATTCTCTTCGCGATTGAATGAGGAGGTGGCAGGCTGAGTCGGGGGTTGGGTTGGGTGGGGGGGGGCTGTGTAGTGAAGGGGGGGGGGGTCGGTGACGATGTGAGTGGGAGTGAAATTGAAGGCGGGGTTTGCTCGGATGTGACGGGCGACCAATCGAAAACCTGGAAAGACAGAGATGGGGGGGGGCGAGAGAGAGATGGAGAGAGAGAGAGAGGGGTACAAAAAAAATCAAATTATACAAAGATGAGTGTCGCGAGCGATTTCCCTTCATAATCCCCTACGAGATTTTGGAGGAGCGACTCCCGTGTACACAAACGCACGCACGCACGCGCGCGCGCGCGCTCGCTCACTCGCTCGCGCCCGGCACTCAATCAACTCAGAGCCGTATTAGGTCAGACCTTGCTGGTAATTTACCCAGGGATTCTGAGCCTCGGATTTCAGTCGCTCCGTTTGCACAGAGGCGGGTTTGGGTGTGGAGGAGGGGGGTGGGGAGGCGTGCAGATTGTGCGTGTGTGTCTGTAGTGTGTGTGTGTGTGTGGTGTGTGTCTGTAGTGTGTGTCGGTAGTGTGTGTGTGTCTGTAGTGTGTGTGTCTATAGTGTGTCTGTGTCAGTAGTGTGTGTCTGTAGTGTGTGTGTCTATAGTGTGTGTGTGTCAGTAGTGTGTGTCTGTAGTGTGTGTGCTTATAGTGTGTGTGTGTCAGTAGTGTTTCTGTAGTGTGTGTCTGTAGTGTGTCTGTAGTGTGTGTCTGTAGTGTGTGTATTTGTGTGTTGGTAGTGTATGTGTCGGTGATGTCAACATGGCGCTTGTGCCGGGCTATGTGCACGTTAAAGTCACGTGAAGTGTCGAACGCCCGCTGGCAGGAGGTCACGGGACAGACACAGGTGCCATGGGTCGATTTACTGAGATGAGTGGCTGATGCACCACCGGTGCCCCTGACTGTGGCAACTTGCTGTGTTTTAGCCACCCGGCGCTCCGCTCGTTGTTGTGAGCATCGCTCCTCTGCCCTCCGTTGTTGCTGGAGGGCGACTGCCTCCAACTGCCCAACAGCGTCCTTCACGAGCCTCCTCCACAGAGACCGATCTTGACACCGCTGGTACCAGTCATCGACAAGTCCACTCAGCTCTACATCCTCTTGTACCACATCACTCCATCTCTTCTCTAGCCCGTGCCGTGCACGTTTAGCTCCCTCGATCCGGCCGAACAAAAGCTGTTTTGGCATGCGGTGGCTGGGCATGCAGGCTACATGGCCCAGCCAACGCAGCCTTGCCTGCCGGAGGAGCTCGCCGATGGGACTTTGTCCAGATCTTTCAAGGATTTGTGAGCTCCTGACACAATACAGCCTGGTTAAACCCAGGATGGATTGTAGGCAGGCCAGCCTAAATGTTTCTAACAGGCTAAGATGTTCCATTAGGGGGAGTCCACGTTTCGCAAGCGTAGAGAAGGTAGGGCATGACCGTGGCCGACAAGACCCAAAGCTTCGTGTGGAGTGACAGACCAGGTAGCTGCCACACCACCCTAGGCAGCTGATGAAAAGATATTGCCGCTCGACTGATTCGGGAGTGAGACCTCTGCTGTCAAACCGGAGCCGGTCATGAGCACACTGACCAGGCGTGGAAAACTCTCCACTCTCTCCACAGCTGCCCCATGGGGGTGGAGTGTCTGATGGCACAAAATACCCAGGCAGACACAGAGACACACCAACACACACACAGACCCCCACACACAGGGACTCAAACACACACAGGCAGACACACACAGACACACCAACAAAGACACACCAACACACACACATACCCACGCAAACAGACCCACACATACACAGGGTCCCACACACACAAACACACACACCAACAAACACACACAGACACACACACCAACAAAGACCAAGACAAAGATCCCCCGTATAGCCTTAACAGACTGTCGGGGCAAGTGCTGTTAGCGAGCACCTATGAAGGCCGGAACGATACACGAGGGGGTGGGTGGCCAGCACCACGCCCGACCGCCTTTCTCTCCCTACTGGCAATGTTTACACACCGCACCAGGTACTCATTTAAGGCTGAGTCGACCTAGGGGAGGCCCGGGACCGGTTCAGATAATCGTCACTGTTGTTGGCCGTGAGCGGGAACCGAACCCGTGTCGCCGGGTTCATAGCGCAGCGCGCTACCCGCTACCACTACCGCACAGACAGACACACACCCCAACACGTACCAACACACACACACACACTCCGTGTCAGCTCTCCTCTCCGCACACGCGAGCCGGAGCCCCCCCTCTCCCTTTCTCCCCTCTCCCGCTCTCTGTGTGCTCAATTCCGCTTTGTTTTGATCTCTCGCCCAGGCTGATCTCTCCCCAATTCCGATCCGCCACCTCGCTCCTCGTTGTCGGTCGGTGGCTTTGAACGAACGCACAACGCGTTCCCTGGCCTGCAGGCTGGCTCCACATGCAAAGACAAGATTCCCCAGCCGCCCCCCGACCCGCCCCGTATAGCCTCCACGAGACTGTTGGGGCAAGTGCTGTTAGCGAGCACCTGTAAAGGCTGGCACGGCACACGAGCGGGTGGGTGGCCAACACCACGCCCGGCCGCCTTGGCGATGTTCGCACACTGCACCAGGTACTCATTTGAGGCTGAGTCGACCGAGGGGGAGGCCCAGGGCCGGTTCAGATAATCGTCACTGTGGTGTTGGCCGTGAGCGAGAATCGAACTCGGCTCGCTTTCCGGGTTTGTTAGCGGTTAGCACGCTAACCGCTGCACCACCGCTCCATACACAGAGACACGCACAGACAGATAGACGCGCACACACGCACGCAGATCAGTTTCAAGTGGAATCTGAAGTCTTCCCGGGTTTCCCCGCTCTGGTCGATACGGTCGTAAATGACTCTCCGTGTCAGTGTGCAAACATTAGCGCTGGGAAACACACAGACAGCCGAGGCCACGTGTGTAGTTAATATGGGGTGCTCCAGATGTCTTGTGACCCCCCCCGCCCCCTACAATTAATTGACCTCTTTGCTTCATTCGGTAAAGTCACGCAGAAAGAAACTAAATTGAATAATAGAGTACGACGTTTCGATTGCAACACAAGCAACCGTCATCGGGTAGAACTACATTTGAGAGAGAGACAAAACACAGACACGGAGACAAACAGACAGACACACAGGCAGAGACAACACAGACACACAGAGAGAGAGATGCACACAACATCGACACACAGAGACCCAATGCCTCTCTCTCTCTCTCTACCGAAAGAACCAAAGAGGAATTCCTGCAGTCACGAAAGCTTCAAATCAAATTAATTGACCCTTCCCATTTTTTTGTTTCCTTTGCATATTCCCTTTGGGATTATTTCGCTGCTATGAATGTCCAAAGTGATGGTGGCCGCTTTGTTGAGCGGCCACCATCACTTGTTGATAGCCAGGGTCGCTTTTGTCACGGTAAGTTTCAGTTTGCAGTTGAATTTATTATGGATAACCCTGTGAGCCATGCGGCTCTTGACTCGGGCGCAATCGCAGCAAACAAAACGTGAACAAGAAACATCTTAAAGTGACTACACGCAACAGAAAAAAAAATCCAGAAAAAACACCGTATTGCAACGCTGTGTGCAAAAAGCTCAGTTGGGGCTTCGCCTGCTAGGATGGTTCGGTGTTGTATCTGCGGCGTGTTTGGGCGATTTGTGTTTACCCTTCTCGTACTTTGCACCACTATCGAGTCTCTGTAACCGTCTGTTGTTGCAACGTTCTCATCCCCGCGGCACCCGACTGGACCATCTGTGGACAAAAGAGCTTTATAGCTCATCGGATGCATCCTTGCAGTGAATACAATAGTCTGAAGATCATAATGTTCGTGCCTGTTTTAAATAAAGCTTACTTGTAAAAGTTTTTGACAACTAAATCGAGGGAGGTGATGGGGGGAGGTGGGGGGGGGGGGTGGTCACAAGACATGTGAACCCACCTTCTGCACAGGCAAGCTCATAGTTTAGCTAACCAAAGATCTCCCAACCCCCTCGTGTGCCGTGCTGCCAACCGAACGGGTTGGCAGCAGCGGTGGGGGGGGGGGGTGTTCTGTTTTCGAGAATGTTCCGTGAAGACAAAAATTTGGTGGTCGCCGGCCTCGTAGCGCAGCGTCGCTAACCACTGCGCCACCGCTCCCCCACCGTCATCATCACTACCACCACCACCACCGCCGCCACACGTATGCACCGTGGTTGCCGAGACGCTCGCACGCGTGCCCTTTCACGGGCACAGCGAGCGACATAACCCGCCTTTAAAAACAACAACGATAATAACGATGATGCTATTCGTAACATAAAAAATAAAGAATAAAAGCGCCCACGACACGGAGCCAATTAACGAGGTACAACCCCATTAGCGCCGCAGGCAATGTCCGCGTCTCCTGGTCTCCGCACGCCCCCCACGTGCCACGTGCCGGACACGACGGGACATCCTCACGCGCGCGATGCCGAACGGAGACAAAGATAAAGATTTCGCCACCCCCCCCCCCCCCCCCCCCCCAGTATGATTGAAAGCTTTCGTGACTGCAGTAATTCATATTCTTAGCTCTTTCGGTAAAGTCACCACGTTGAAGGGAAACAATAAAATAATAATAAAATATATATAAAACTATACAAATTCTCACGACGTTTCGACCGTAACACAAACGGTCGTCATTAGGTGTGAAAAACCAACGGCAAGAAACATTTTAAAGAAGTCTTATATATATATTTATTCTTTTATTGTTTCCCTTCAACGTGACTTTACCGAAAGAGCTAAGAATAACCCTTACTAAGTTGGCTGTGTCGGGTGGTGGCGGGTTTTAACGACACAATTATACATTTATGCGATCTAACCCAAAAATCCTCTATTATGGAGCCTTG